CATTATAGCAAATATACCATACTAATGTAAGATGTTCCTAAAAGGGGAAACTAGGTGCAGAGTATATAGGAGCTCTCTCTACTATACAATTTTTCTGTAACACTAAAATTGTTCTAAAAAATAGTTTTTAAAAAATGATTTGAAGTTTTTAAAAACCAAACTAATCCTCATAAAACTAAAATTTATTACAATAAGAATAAAAGGGAAGAAACAGAGAAAAATTATCTCAGGAATCAAATTCCTCAAGACACATTTCAGCATCCTTTTATGAACATACTGACATCAGATCTGCTAGGAATAAAGTAGCAGAGCCCCCAAAGGAAAGGTAAGTTTCAATGTGCCAGAGAAAGGGAGAAGAGCAGTGGTTTGCAAATTGTAACAAACTGGATTGCATTCAAATTAGATAATGAGTGTCAGTATACTTCTAAGCAGTAAACCACTAAGCCAATGTTATTGTTACTGCAGAAAAAGGGAAAGGAAGATTCACTTCTTTTGTGCATTAATTTATCCCATAAACACTCATGAATTTCAACTCAGTACCAGGAGTCTGCCACAGTGGTACAGAAATGAACAAGACCTACCTTCCTACTTTTGCTATGAATCAGACGGTGAAGACAGCACCCTTATTAAAGACCAATAGCCACCTGTGAGCCTAGAGTGGAAAGTGACAGAGAGTGAGATAAATTATGTATTTGGTCCTCTCTCATCTGAAATACTCTGAAAGGAGTATTTCTGATGAGAGAGGACCAAATACATAATTTTACTGAAAGGAGTATTTAAGTAAAGTTTAAAAGAGAAGCGCCACCACCACCTAAACTTGGAACAGAGGCATAACTGCTACAAGGACTAAGATATGGAATGGTATTAAATAATTTGTCACTTAAAGCAAAAACAGAAAAATATTTAAGGACACAAACATTTTATTTCTTGAGGAAGAAACTACAGTATAGACATTTGTGTACAGAGACGATTTATGTTTCTTTTTTTTTCTTTCTGAGAGACAGTCTTGCTCTGTCGCCCAGGCTAGAGTGCAGTGGCACAATCCCGGCTCACTGCAACCTCCACCTTCTGGGTTCAAGCGATTCTCCTGCCTCAGCCTCCTGAGTAGCTGAGATTACAGGCACACACCACCACGCCCAGATAATTTTT